TTCTGAGCAAAGGCCTGAAAAAGCACACACTGGTAATCAGGCAGCAAACCCCTCCTCACAGGCCAGCCAAGGCCTGCTAAGCACCATCTGCTCTCAAGGCAACCAAGGGAAGCCTTACCTCAACAGGATCCACACCATCCTCTTGCGTGGGAGGGACGTAGAAGCGCACCTCCATGAGAGACACCTCTGCATCATCATTCTGGTGGAATTCCAGTGTCACCTCATTCTTGCCTGTGGTACACTGGGATACATTGCTGAGAGGTATCTCAAAAACCGGCTGGTCACCAATGTCAAAGGAAAGCAGCTGCCCTGTGAGGAAAGAGCTTATCAAGCCACAAGCTCCTCCCCTTAGGTCTGCATAAATAACATTCCAACCAAATAGTTAAATTCCATGAGGACAGGATGCTTAGGGCTACTTTGTTCACACTATACCCCAAGACCAGGCACAGTGCCTGACACCCTGTAAGTGCTCAATAAATACATGAAGAACATGCACACACAAACTGATAGGAAGTCAAGAAACAGAGGCAGAAGGAAGAGAGAAAAACAAGTTAAAGGCTGAAACCCTTCAACCTACCTTCTCCCCAAACCTCAATCTTTCCCGGACTCACCACCAAACTTCACTGTCCCCCAGTTCCAGCCCTTCACACACAGGTCCTTCTCCATTAGTTCAAGGCGATAGTGAGTTTTAAAGAAATCAGAAAGTTTCTCAAACTCCTGTGGGGAGAAAGTACAATCCCAATAAAGCCTTAACACGGACTTAACACAGACTTGAATGTTCTGGGATTATCCAGTTTTGAGAAACTGTCTCAAAAAGCCTTTGTCACAAATCCATGCTGACTTAGCAACTCAGCTTTAAAATTATTTAAAAGGTTGTTGAAAGAGATTGCCCCTGGGAACTGAATCTTAGAGGAGTAAAGTATGAAATGCCTGTCCTGGTTATGGGCCTCACAGCAGTACTATCTGACTTTTTAAACTTTGTCTAGGTACTGCTTTAATAAAAGTGGGAATTAAAACTAAGTCTTTTTTTTTTTTTGAGACAGAGCCTCAAGCTGTCCCCCTGGGTAGAGTGCTGTGGCATCACAGCTCACAGCAACCTCCAACTCCTGGGCTCAA